CATCACTGATTTGACATTAACCCTGCCATCACAAATTTGACATTAACACTCCCATCACTGATTTGACATTTAACACTCCCATCACAAATTGACATTTAACCCTGCCATCACTGATTTGATATTTAACACTCTCATCACTGATTTGATATTTAACACTCTCATCACTGATTTGACATTTAACACTGCACATCACTGATTTGACATTTAACACTCTCATCACGGATTTGACATTTAACCCTGCCATCACAAATTTGACATTTAACACTCCCATCACTGATTTGACATTTAACACTCCCATCATTGATTTGATATTTAACACTCCCATCATTGATTTGATATTTAACCCTGCCATCACTGATTTGACATTTAACCCTGCCATCACTGATTTGACATTTAACACTCCCATCATTGATTTGACATTTAACCCTGCCATCACAAATTTGACATTTAACCCTGCCATCACTGATTTGACATTTAACACTGCACATCACTGATTTGACATTTAACACTCCCATCACAAATTTGACATTTAACATGTCAGATTTGTTACCTTCTAAAATTAGTTTTCTTGGTTATGTTTTGTTATTTTCAATGACAGTTTTGCTATATAGAACTTCTGATCAAAAGACTGTGTAATTTTTGCTGTAGTCTCAAAACAATACAAAGCTGAATAATTTAATTTTTAAGTTGATTAGCATTGTGTTTTGGCATTTTTATTTTCATAAAAATATTTTTTTCAATAATAATGATAAAAGACTAAGTCAAATATCAAACCTTATAAGATAAAGATACAAATTTCTTTAAGTCAATCTCTCTGGTGCAACATTTTGTTTAATATTTATATATTTTTTATTAATTCTTTTTTTTCTATTGGCTACCAGTTTTGATCAAAATTTTGAAAAAAGTTATTTGGGTTATATTTTGTAATAGGTGACAAATTCATTTTGACTTTCAAAAGGTTTATTGCATAATATGTTGTCTGTTGCCAGGCCATACCACCCGCCACAGCAGATATTTGTCTGATTGGTTTCCGCCAGTTCTTTGATATTACCGCAGTCTCAGCAGCTGACAATTTCATCATATTGGTTTCTAAGGCGATGGATTCACCTAGTGCTACTAAAAAGTGAGACAATCTATTTATTTCCTGTTTAACCTACAATCAATTACAGTCATATTGCCTAAAGAACAATGTATCGTACATGGGAGTGTCAGGTTGTCTTGTTGCTAGGTTACAATGTTATATAATCGTAATGATACCTTTGCTACCTTCAGGTTGATCAATGCAGTTTCATAAAAATCTTTGAAAATTGCTGATACTTTGTGAATAGATCACTTATTGCTACACAGTATCACATGTGAAAAAAGAACCAAGGTCACAAACCAAATTTTTTATATAAATATGATATTAGTTTACGCATATGAATATATAAAGGATAAAAAAAAGCATGTCCGGTTCAATTAAAAAAATATCTCACTTTTTTAGCTCCGCAGTCGACTTTGTCGAGCGGAGCTTATCATATGAGTGATTGTCCATCGTCCGTGTCAATGTTTTACTTTTTCGACTTCTTCTTGAAAACTACAAGCCTGAATGCTTTGATACTTGGTGTATATGTACCTTGGGCAGACCTCTCTCAGATTTGATCATTTCATGATGATATCTTCAATTCTCTAATTTTGGTGAATATTTTTGTCATTTTTGGTAAAAAGTGATATTTTTGACTTCTTGTTAAAAAACGCAAGTCCAACTGCTTTGATATTACATATATAGGTACTACGTGTGAACCTCTCTCAGATTTTTCCATTTTGTAATGATATCTTTAATTTTCTAATTTTGGTGAATATTTTTGTCATTTTTGGTAAAAAGTGATATTTTCGACTTCTTGTTAAAAACCGCAAGTCCAATTGCTTTGATATTACATATATAGGTACTACATGTGGATCTCTCTCAGATTTGTTCATTTTGTAATGATATCTTAAATTCTCTAATTTTAGTGAATATCTTTTTTAATTTTTAGTAAAAAATGATATTTTTGACTTCTTGTTGAAAACCGCAAGTCTGATTGCTTTTATATTACATACATAGGTACTACATGTGGACCTCTCTCAGATTTGTTCATTTTGTAATGATATCTTTAATTCTCTAATTTAGGTGAATATTTTTTTAATTTTTAGTAAAAAATGATATTTTTGACTTCTTGTTGAAAACCGCAAGTCTGATTGCTTTTAAATTACATATATAGGTACTACATGTGGACCTCTCTCAGATTTGTTATTTGTTTCATTTGTTAATTTCGTGGTATATCTTCAATTACAGTATCTAATTTTGATGATTATTTTTGGTGAAAAGTGATATTTTTGAATTCTTGTTGAAAACCGCAAGTCTGATTGCTTTTAAATTACATATATAGGTACTACATGTGGACCTCTCTCAGATTTGTTCATTTTGTAATGATATCTTTAATTCTCTAATTTAGGTGAATATTTTTGTAATTTTTAGTAAAAAATGATATTTTTGACTTCTTGTTGAAAACCGCAAGTCTGATTGCTTTTATATTACATATATAGGTACTACATGTGGACCTCTCTCAGATTTGTTCATTTTGTAATGATATCTTAAATTCTCTAATTTTAGTGAATATTTTTTTAATTTTTAGTAAAAAATGATATTTTTGACTTCTTGTTGAAAACCACAAGTCTGATTGCTTTTATATTACATATATAGGTACTACATGTGGACCTCTCTCAGATTTGTTCATTTTGTAATGATATCTTTAATTCTCTAATTTAGGTGAATATTTTTTTAATTTTTAGTAAAAAATGATATTTTTGACTTCTTGTTGAAAACCGCAAGTCTGATTGCTTTTATATTACATATATAGGTACTACATGTGGACCTCTCTCAGATTTGTTATTTGTTTCATTTGTTAATTTCGTGGTATATCTTCAATTACAGTATCTAATTTTGATGATTATTTTTGGTGAAAAGTGATATTTTTGAATTCTTGTTGAAAACAGCAAGTCCTGTTGCTTTGATACTATACATATTGTTCATTTTCTAATGATATCTTCTGTTCTTTAATTGCAATGTGCATTGCTAACAGCGGAGCTATCTTAGCCGACCGGCTGCTTGTTAAATAATAGATAATGAGACAATGTCTCTGAGACTACCGGTATATGATTAAAACATTAAAAAGAAGGGTATTGATGTATTTGTAATGAGAGGGCAGTTTCTGTAGTAGTTTGCTCAATGCAAATACAGAGGTGATCAAACATGTTCTCATGTGAGAACTCCTGTGAGTTCACTTCAAATCCACCCATATACTGTAATTAAACTGTATTGATCAACTACAATAATGTTTCTCCTTCTTAGCTATTAAAAATGCATTTCAATTGAAATATAGTTTCTGCAGCAAAATGTACTTTAGAAAATTAGATATAAATCATCAGCAATTGTACTAGAAATTTGCACATAAAAAAGGTCTGGTGATTCAACAAAGGCTAGGTTCTAATAATTTCACTGTTATATTTTAGTTGGAGTATCTATGCTCTAGAGATGCAGGACCCAATTGCTTTATATCAAGATATGTTACAATTAGCAGCAAGGTATCAAGTATCAAACTCCTTAGCTTATCAACAATTATTAACTGAGGCATATCTTCTTATCAAATCATCTGTTTACTATGAGAAACATCAAACTGATTCTGACAAACTACAAGAGCTGATCAAGAACTGCTGTGCATTACTTGGACACCATTATGCAAGGTTTGTTTGAGACCCCCCCCCCCCCTTCAATTAAATTATGTGTGATCTCTCCCACACTCCCACTAGGTATGATCCTTCCACCCTACACCAGACCTTTGCCACATTGGGAAATAAAGGCAAGACTTATGAGTAAATTATGTGTGTGAACACAAAACCTAAATATTTAGACCAGCCTGAAGACAAATAAGTATCTAATTTTAATCTTGATGTTACACTGGCCTTACTACATTATGATTAAGGCCCAAATTACATAATTGCCACTATCTGAGACTAAATGTTGAAATTAGGTTTGTGGCCTTTTCATAATCGCAACAGTGATGGCAGTGAGAGGAGTCAGTTTGACCATACTACACTACACCAGGTGCGACCTTTGCCACACCCACACCACACGTCACCCCACACG